AGAGCCTGCTCTTTCTTGCTTCTAGTTGATTATGTGATTTGACATTAAGTTAGCCCATCTAAGGGCCGGCAGGTGGTGTAGTGGTTAGGGGTGCCAGACTCCCACGTGGCCGACCACAATTCAAGTCCTGGACCAGCTTGCTTTCTCTCTCTCCCCGCCCACCCCTGCCCCCACTGTCAGGTCAAATTAAAAAATAAATGAAGTTAAATAAAATAATTATTTAAAAAAAAAAAAAAAGCTTAGCCCATCTATTTTTGCTAAATTGGGGATTTGCTAAGGTGTGTCATGGCCATGCAACTTATTTCTGAAGGTCAGACATCAGTCCTGTGGTTAATGGTCTTCTGGGATGTGCAGTTCTCCCTCTCATGGCTTTCCACTTATAAAGCTATCTGTAGGTGGTAGCATTGGGTGTACTTAAATGACTGGTAGTAGATTAATAAAGACTCACAAATACCTTAAGTAGATAGGCAGCATTAAGATTCACAAAGCCTGTGGTTAGGTCCCTGTTAGTCATCTATCCAGCTTTATTTATTCATTTATTTTGGGTTTTTGCTAAAGGGAACGTGCACTCACCAGAGAGAGACAGAAAGTGAGAGGAAAAGTGAGAAATCGTCCCCCAGGGAGGATGGCCACATCACAATCCCTTCCTCTCCATTCTCCTCCTGGGATTTGGGGCATACACACACACATACCCAGTATGACCTTCAAGCAACTAGGTCTGGGACTTGATTCGTGGTCTACCTTGTGGGAGTCCAACACCTTAGCCACTAAGCCACCTTCTGATTCCTGCCCAGCTTTAAATGGAGCCGTTCTTCCTCTCTTTGTCCTGGGTCCATCAGCTAGCCTTGATTCCCTTCTTTAAACTCACTGTTCTCCCTTGTACCACAGGGTGTGCATAAGTACCATAGGTCTCTTCGGTTCTTAGGCCACTTTCTCAAGCCTTCCCTGACCACCTCCTCTTTTTCTAGGCCAGGTATCAGGGCTATTTCCATCATGTTGGGCTACTGTAACAGAACTCCTTAGACTGGGTCATTTATAAACAACAGAAATTTACTGCTCACAGTTGTGGGGGCTGGGAAGACAGAAGTCAGGATACCTGTAGGTTCAGTGTCTGATGAAGGCTCTCTCCTTCATAGATGGTGCCTTCTTTCTGTGGGAAGGGCAGAGGGGCTCCCTCAAGTCTTTTTCATAAAGGCACGAATTCCATTCAGGAAGACTTCACCCTCCTAAAGGCCTCACCTTCTAATACCATCACCTTGGTGATCAGGCTTCAACATATGAATTTGGGAGGGACCCAAATGTTCGGACCATAGCAGAGGTCTTTTCTTCACAGGTGTACTTAGACATCTATATAATATTTATAATTTGATGGGTGTCTGATTCTTCTCCTAGATTAAGCTGTCAGAAAAACAGAAAATTATCCTGTATCTCCCAGACCCAACTGGCTACTAGTACATAGTAGTTGTCAATAAATGGATTCATTCATCTCCAAGTATATACTTCAACACAAGGTCAACTTAAAGACTTGTCCTACTGTAATTTGAGTACTTAATTATTTCCCTTCCTATCCTCCATTTCGGAGGAACCAAGAGAGTTTCTTAGCTATACCCCTGGTGGTTGACCTTTAAAAACACTATAAGGAAAGATGTTTTCCACCCAGTCTTCACTCTCTATAGTCACCTTTTCTCTCTTCCCTCTCCAGAATTTTTTTTCCAAGTTTTTGCCATAGGGTGCATGTGCTCACCAGAGAGAGCTAGAGAGAGGGAAAGTGAGAAATCACCTTCCACGAGGGATGACCATACTGCAATCCCTTCTCTATTCTGTTTCTGGGATTTGGGACATGCACGCACATGTACCCAGTATGATTTTCAAGCTGCCAGATCCAGGACTCAAACTGTGATTGGCCACGAGGGAATCTAGCATCTTAGCCTCCATGTACCTGCTGGTGCCTCCCTCCAGAATTCTTTGCTTGCTGCCCTTGAAGTTAGAGTCAGGAATGTATTTTTAACCAGGTTTTTTTGGCTTGGTTGAGGCTGTTGTGTCCCTCAAAGAAAAATCTTTAATGAAATGTTTCTGCTTTTGTAATTATGTGTCCTGGGACCAGTAGGTGGCATAGTGGTTAAGGACACTGGACTCCCACATGGCCAACCCTGGCGTTTGAGTCTGAGATCTGGTGGCTTAATTTCTCACTCTCCCCCACCCCACCCCTGGCCCCTCTCTGGTCAAATTAAAATAAATAAATAAATAAATGAAGTTAAGTAAAATAATTATTTTTTTAAAAATGTGTCCTTCACATGTATGTGGTCCCCAGAGTCACAGTGGAGGGCAAGGGGCTCAGTGATAGGGTGCTGAGATGTTTCCCCTCTTCATCTTGGTAACAGGACAAGTGCGTGTTTTAGTGTGGGAGCTCTCTGGCCATTGGCCATCAACTTTAGTACTCCCAGTGAGATTTTACTTGAAACGTACTTTTATGTCTAGCCATCTCCTCTACTTTTTGTTTTTCCTCCATTATTTTTCGGAAGGGAAGTCTCTGGAGAAACTCTCTTTTTCTCTCCCACTTTTCCAGGCTGGGCAGCGTCCCTGAAGCTGAAGAGCTGGCTTCCCAAATGCTGAAAGGCTTTCCTAGAGACCGCGTCTCTGCCCAGGAAGCACTTGTTCATGACTATTTCAGAGCCCTGCCGTCTCAGTTGTACCAGCTTCCCAATGGTAAGTGAGCGAGAGAGAGAGAGAACACGTGCCTGAGTGTTAAGTGTCAGTGTCTTCAGTGTTTTCACCTAACTGTGGAGAATCCTAGATTTGTGCCCCAAAGTAAAGTCAGAAACCAGTTTGCCTGAGAGAAACAAGAGTTCATTCTTGCCGGCGTTGTGCATTAGATTCTCTAAAATCTAAAGCTCTGGTAGGGAGAGGTGACAGGACCTCCCCGTAAGACCTGATCAACTCACACACACCCACTTACACTTGAGAATTAAGAGATGAAAGTTGCCTCTGAGTCGTTTGCGTTAGCTGCCATGTGCCCGGAGAAGCAAAACCAAGGTTCCTAACAAGCCCCTTCTCTCTCTCTGTAGAGTAAGATGATAGGTGACATGGATATGTCACGGAGGAGAGCTGGACCTTTCTTGATTGGTAATACGATGCTACAGAAGGAAGTGCCGAGGTTCCTCCCAGGCTGGCCGCCCACTGGGAACACTCGTTGCCCTGAAGTCAGCCCTTGCTGCCTGGGCCTGAGGTCATCCTCCGAATCTGAAATCTGCTGAGGGGTCATGTGGCTGCAGCTCTCCTCGTGTTTCCCAGAACATGGCCAGGAAGGGCTCGCGGAGGATGTGGGCAGTAAGTGTGGTCATGGGAGCCTATCCTTAGGTGGGGTTTCTTTGAAAACGGCCACATCATTCCACTGGAAACAGGTTTTAGAAGTCCCAGGGCAGAGAAAAAAAAGTGAAGAAGGCCCCAGCAGCTCAGACTGGATACAGGGATGGGAGCCAAGATGGGTGCAAGGGGGTGAGGACAGAGAAGAGCCTGAGGGCTACTTCCTAAGAGGGGCAGACCCAGCTGGCCCATGTCACAGGGTTTGCAGAAGTAGCCCCACTGTAGGACACTGTCCTGCAACAGGCCAAAGCGCTTAATTTGGGACTTGTTGAAGTATTTTATTATTAAATTGAGTCATTTAGACTCTCCAAAAATAACCATAATCTTACAACTGGGGTTAATGTCTTACTTAACCCTGTAGGAAGAGTCAGTCATTAGTATTTATTAGGTTGCCGCTAAGTGTCAAGAACATACAAAGTACTATAAAAAGTTGAGGAAAACAAGAGGCTTGTCCTTGGCCTCAAGGATCTTACGAAGTAGGAGGAAAAGAGGGTGAGGAAGAGGAAACAGGGCGCCCCCGTACACATATTAGCACAAATCATATCTAAACAGCTCAAATCTGTGCATAATCAACCACAGATGTTCAGAGACCGTGTGCGTTCAAGGCAATTCTTCGGAGGAACTGGAGTAATTCAAGTGAGATGGATTAGACTGGGAGTGAATCTGCAGCGGAATTTGGAAGGAGGGGAGGGGTGCAATCTGGCATGTGGGTGAAATAAAAGACGTTGCAAGCAGACCTGCAACGCTCCCTTCCCGGTCCCCCTGGCCCCACTTCTGCCCTGCCCTTCCCCCACTCCCATCCCAACTTCCTCTTCCCAGTCTGAGCCCCAAGGTCCTTCCTTCTTAGCTTTCTTCTCTCAGGTTTGGCACATCTAACTTCAGTGCTTCACGCAAGCACACACGCTTGGGTGTTCACACACACCCACACACACATCCACACTCCTTTCTCACCACTTAAGGAAACTTCCCCCACAGGCCCTCCTCCAGGATCTATTATTCCACACACTGAGACCCGCTGGGGATCTTCAAAGTCTTCTAGGCACCAGCTTTTGCCTGAGGAAGGGTAATTAGGAAGAAACAATCACTGTCCAAAGTGATGTGTTGTTTAGAAACTTGGGTTTTGATTCTTCCTAGTTGATCCACAGCAAAGCCACCAACAGAGGGGCTCTGGGTTGTGTGTGTGTGTGTGTGTGTGTGTGCTTGTATGTGTGTGAGTGTGCGCGTGCAGGTGTAAGAGAGGCAGAGAGAGAACAATCTGTATTCCTTCTCTGTTCACCCAGCCACAGAGCCCAAATCTACTTTGACACTTTTAGAAAAATGAAAAGATGGAATCTTGCAGGAGCCTGCCTGCGCTGGGGGGGAGACGAGGAGTGCTCACAGCAGGAGGGAAGTTGACTTTTCTTTATACATATAGGGGTTTTTCCATGCAGAGTTTAAATTATGCCTGATAAAAGGAGTTTCGTGGATGTTTCAGTTCTTTCAAATTCTCCTGGCTTCCTCCCAATTAAATGAGGTTTGTCAAAGCCACAGGGCTCTGCTGCTGCTGCCTCCGCGGACAAGCACTTCCTGCAGCGACATCTCGAATCCCCGAGGGAGAAGATGAAAGGGCCGGCGCCAAGAGACAGGGGAAGGGGGGCGGGATTGGGTGTGTGTGTGCCTGTGCCTCTGTGTGTGTGTGTTCACGTGCATGTGTGTGTGTGCTTGTACATGTGTGCAATGGAAATACATATAGAGACAGACCGACAGGGCATGAGACGAGTAGAGAAAGCAAAGCTACCAGGAAAATTGGAAAGAAAAACAGAGGAAGAGAGAGAAGCAGAGACTGCTTTGCGCACCTTCGTGACCGACTGCAGCCCTCATCCGGGGCGCACTATGATTTAAGGGACGCATTCCCTGGGCCTGGCAGTGCCAGCCTGCTTCTTCATTGCCCCTGGCAGTGAGCATTATTAAGAGCCTCCTTTGCAGACAGAGAGCACCAGCAGGTAATCACAATACCCAGCCTGCAGGGACATAGACTCTCCCTCCCTGCGGAGAGCTGCCCCAAGCATGAGAATTGTGCAAAAATAAGACATGCTCTTGTGAGTGATTTGTAAAGAGAGTTTCCCTGCCATGATTATGCAAGGAATGTTGCTCTCTGATGGCATTTCAGTATGGAATCATTTAGGGGCTTATATTTATATCATTTTTATTATTCTGGTTTTATTCTGGTTGCAGGATAACAGAGTTGTCATTTTACAATATATTCTGTTTCCCCTTTGATCTGGAAGATGCCAGCTCTTACTGTCTGCCCTCTGAAGAAGACAATTAAAGCATAAAAACCTGTGACTGGGAAATATGTGGCGAGTGGAAGGATAGCCTAAATCCAAGGGAAGAGAGGTGTAGAAACTCCCCACGAAATGAAAAAATTGCTCCCATCCATCCATGTCAATTTTCATGAAGCTGAGAGGTCCCAAACAGCACTTTCTCTAGATTGTGGCAGTACGCTCGGAGCCAGAGGACATTTATCAGAGGGTTATTTGCCATGAAAAAACAGGAATTCCAGGATTAGCTCCCTTTTGGAGAGTACTCTGAACTGGAAAAGCGTGAATATTAGACTGGCAAGCTTGTGGGAACTTCTGCCAAGTTCTGACATTTTCCTTTATTGACTCTCGAACACCTGAAGAAACATTTGTTGAAGGAGAAATTATTGGTAGTCCCTCCCAAAACACGCCCCACAGCAAGCTAATTGCTTTTGCAGATGGTCAAGGAGCCCTCCTGCCACTCAGACACAGGCTGATGGCCACACTTGCCGTCCTGGTGGCCAAGCCAGCAAAGCAGGACGTCAGCTGGGGCAGCTAGGACCTAAAATTAGGCCCTTGGCAACTTTCTGGTCTTAGCTGCAGGTTCAGCTTCTTCATTTAATTCCCTTTGCCCTCAGCATGAACTTGGGCTTTGGGAAAGGAACACCCGTTTAATGATTTTGGGGGGCGGGGGGAGTAGAAAATCATTAAGCTGCCCCTTCTAGAAACTGGCTCCATTCTTTCTTGCAGGAAACCTTCCAAATGTTACCCTTGGAAAGTTAAGACTGCTTTTGGAACCTAGCCATTTTGAACTACAGACACTGATCCAGAAAAGTATTTTTTATCTGGGGCAGTAAATGCCACGTGATTTAAGAGTCTGGTCCTTAAGCCATGGTCCTTGATCGTCAGGACATCAAAGGCTGTCTCTCTCTGTCTCTGGGTTGGTCCCATTTTACTAGCCAAATCCCATGCTTGCGTCTCCCATTCCTTCCTGAACTAAATCCATCTTCTTTAAAACAGGTTTTCACATCCTAGGGGGGAAAAATATTAAAACTTGAAAGCCTGCAATTGGCTCACAGGTAATTTTGCAAAATCCACGGGCTACCCTGTAAGCGTAGGGATGGAGGAAGGCATGGCCTTTACCCCTTCCTTTCTTCTCACCACCCTGGTAACTGCACTCGAACGTTCTTCAGCCGGCCTCACTCACATTGCCCTCTTAAAATCAGAGGCATGTTATGCTTTGCTCCAATCGCAGAACCTCAGGCCTCCCTTTAATATTATCTCTTTAATATATTTGAAGATTCCTGGGGAACCAGCAGTTAGCGTAATGGCTATGTCGCTGGACTCCCACGTAGTCGACCGTGGTTCGTGTCCCGGACCCGGTGGCTTAAAACTCACGCCGGGCGCGTGTGCGTGCATGCCCAAGATCCCGAGAGGAGAATGGAGGAGAAGGGATTGCGGCGTGACCATCCCCCCTGGGGGGTGATTTCTCGCTTTCTGTCTCTGTGTCTCTCTCTGTCTGTCTGGCGAGCGCACGCGCCCTACAGTGAAAATCTCTCCAAAAAAAAAAAAAAAAGATTCCTGTGTTACTTCCTAAAGGTCACTTCTCCAGGCTGTATTCTTTTAACCGTTTTTTGTTTGCAAATACAGATTCCATTTCTCCCACCTTTAGGCATTTTGTCTCATTGTTCTATTCAGGTCTGCTCCAATTATTATTTTTTTTAATCTCTGATATTATGAACCCAGAGACTTAGGTTTGAGTCTCAGCATAGACGCGGGTTATTAATGTAATAGGAGAATTACTAGGTTGTCGGAAAAGTCGTGACATATTTTTTGGTTTTGTTTTTCTATGCAAAAATGTGTCTTAACTTTCCTGACAACCCAGTATGTTCCAGTTCGTTCATGGAAGATTTACTGAGTGTCTATTGGGTGTGATATTGAAAGACACAAAAGTGGATTAGACATGGACCCTGTCCTCAAACAACTTACAATCCTTCAAGAAAGGAGACAAATGTCTAAACAGCTGCAGAACAAGTAAACACATGTAAAGTACTCTGAGTGTCC